TCAGGGAAGGACCTTCAGGGGTTTGGATGGAAATTCTAGTGGGTCACTGGTCAACCATGAAAGACTGTGACAAATCCACTTGTGACCTTTAGAGGTTTCAGCTTGCTTCCTTAGCACACACATCCTGTGGCTTTAAAATGTGCCAAAAATCTTGAAGAACCAATCAGCAGACCTGTCCCTCTGGGGAAACATAATCTCTAAAGCACTTTGAGATTCAGCAAGATTGTACTCTGACTTTTAGGAAACCTTGGCCTGGCTCCTCAATCCTCTACATTCATCTCCAGAACATACAGAATGTCTTTTGGAAAACACCAACCACATTGTGAGACAGGTGGTTCTCAGTTTCCCTGGGTTTGGGTTTCCAGACATGTGTCTGGGTTTCCAGCCACTCCTCAAGGTCTCAGGCCCCTCTGCTAGGCCCTCCCCTAGAGGAAATCTACTGTTGCCAGTTAGACCTATTTTCAGCACCAACATGGGGAAAATGAGAGCACAGAGGGCTGGCTTATGCAAATCCAGTGGCTGGGCATGCTTAGTAGATAGGGGTAATGTAACCCTAATAGCTGAATGACCTTCCACTACAGAAGCTAGAGAGCACAGAATATTCTCACATTTGTCTGGTGATCGTGATAGGATTTGACTAATGAGCAAGCTCCAAGAAGAGACCAGCTGAGCATGTGGAAGACTATGTTGCACAACTGTGTGCCACACTTTTTATTGAATATTCATTAGACAGTGAAAATATAAAAGCCAGATCCCAGAAGAAGGCAGGGCTGGTGCTCACTCTGCTGGAGGCAGCCCGCAACTCTGCCTATGGAGTGTGTATTTCTCTTTGTATCAAACTTACCTTCAGTGAGCAGCTGTTCACTCTCTTGAGCCAGCCTGCACTTGGTACTGAACTTTAAGTGTGTATTGCTTGCTTTTGCTTTTGTATTAAACTTGGTGTGGGCCCTGCCCAGTCCCAGTCTCCGGAGCTGGGTCTCTCTCTCTCTCCCCCTCTCTCCCTCTTTCCCTCTCTCTCTCTCGTCAAATCTGTATCTCTTCTGTTACATTAAACCTGTTCTCACTTCATTCTCTGACTCCATTCTTGAATTCTTTCTTGTGGTGGAGTCAAGAACCTGGTAAGAGGATGGGGTGGGATGAGGTCAACTACTGGGAGCCCCCAATCATCAGTCAGTGCTTCACAAGTTGTGTGATCTCTCACACCAGCACCAACTGTGAGTGACCAACCAATATTTCCCTTGTTTCTCTTTCCCCCAGGTGGGCCAAGTGTGATCATCAATCCCTACTGAGAATTAGCAAAAACTCTGCCGTAGAATTCTCTCTCTATGAAACTCAAGTTCATCTAATTATTGTTTCCACAACTCTGTTATGCCTTCAAAAATAGGACTTGTATAGTTTATCTGGCTTTTTCCTAGTCATTGTTTTGAGCATCGGGCTGTTACAACATCTGTATCCTAATGAGAAGCTGAAGTCATGGCATATTTGTTTTTTTTAACAGCTTTTTTTTTTTTTTTTCTCCCTTTTTGTCTTTTTTCGTGACCGGCAACGGATCACAACCCTCAGTGTTGCGCCCGCACCTCGCTCAGCCAGTGAGCGGCTGGTCTGTATGTGGGATCCGAACCCTCGGCGGGAGCGCCGCCACACTCCCAAGCTGGCCCTTAACAGCTTTTATTGAGATATAATGTACATGCCGTACAATTTGTCCTTTTAAAGTGTGTGATTCAATGGATTTTATTTTATTTTATTTTTTTATTATTTATTTATTTATTTATTTTTAAAAGATGACCGGTAAGGGGATCTTAACCCTTGACTTGGTGTTGTCAGCACCACGCTCACCCAGTGAGCAAACCGGCCATCCCTATATGGGATCCGAACCCAGGGCCTTGGTGTTATGAGCACCACACTCTTCCGAGTGAGCCACAGGCCAGCCCTCAATGGATTTTAGTACACTCAGAGTTTTGCAATCATCACCGCAATTGTGGAACACTTTCATTACTCTAAAACTAAATCCCTTAGCCATCATCCCCAATTATAACATCCCCTCTAACCCTAGACAACCATTAATCTACTTTATTTTCCTACAAATCTCCTTATTTGGGGCATTTAATGAAAAGGGTATCATACATCATGGGGCCTCTTTCACTTAGCATAATGTTTTCAAGGTTCATGTGAAGTTGTAGCATGTGTCAGTACTTCAGTGCTTTTTATGACTGAATAATGTTTATTTACATGATATCCCACATTTTGTTCATTCATCAGTTCATGGACACACAACTAGTTCCACCTTTGGACTATTGTGAATAATGCTGCTATGACCATTTGTATTCAAGGTTTTGTATGGATGCATAGTTTTATTTCTCTTGGCTTATACCTAGGATTGGAATTGCTGATCATATGATAGCTCTACACTAAATCATTTGCGGAACTTTCAGCCTGTTTCCAATGTGGCTACACCATTGTACAGGTTTTCCGGCTATGTGTGAGGGTTTTAATATCTCCGTATCCTTACAACACTGTTTATACATCTTTGTGATTATAGCCATGGTAGTGGGTGTGAAGTGATATCTCATTGTGGATTTGATTTGCATTTCTCTGATTTCTACTGATGTCAAACATCTTTTGGTGTGCTTAATGGCCATTTTGTATTTTCTTTAGTAAACTGTATTCAGATTTTTTGCCAGTTTTAAAAAAAAATGAGATATTTATCTCTTTATTATCAAGTTTTAATCATTTTTAAATATATTCTGGATACAAGCTCCTTCTAAGATGTAAGATTTGTAAAGTTTTCTCCAATTCTGTGGGTTTTTTTTTTCATTTTCTTATATTTTTCTTTTCACTTTCTCAATGGCATTCCACAAGTTTTTAATTTTGATGGTTTTCAGTTTATCCATTTATTCTTTGATTGCTTGTGCTTTTGATGTAATGCCTAGAAAACCATTGCCTAATCTAAGATCATGAAGATTTACACTTATGTGTTCTGTGAGTTTTATAGTTTTAGCCCCCCTACCCCCACCTCCAGTTTGGTCTTGAGGCATCCGAGTTAAAAGGCTGATGGGACCCAGAGCCCATGTTGGGAGGAAGGGGGTACTTTGGGCTGTGAGAGAAGGAGCAGCTGGAAAGCAGGAGTGACCTGGATGGGACCCCAGCTGGGAGGTGGTGGCTACGCTACTGGGATTAGTGAAGGGACCCTCGAGGAAAGGGGTAAGTGGAGAAGCATTTGGAGGACTGGACGGGGGTCTTTGGAGGTGGTTTCTGGGATGAGAAAGTCTGGGGCAGAGCTGTGAGGAGCCTGGAAAGGGACTGTGAAGTGAAACACTCTCCCCTGATGTCTATTCCTCACCTACCTCCTGAGACCTGGGGTCCTATGCCCCTGGGTCAGGGGTTGAACTGGCACAGGAGGGTACAGGGCAGGGGCTGGAGAGTGGCCTCTCTGTTCTGCCAGGTGCTTCAAATTCTGTGACAACCACCATGAAGGGTCACACAGGTGCTGCATGGGCACCAAGTGAGAGCCCCGCCCATTTCCCCAACAGGGGAACCTCCCTGGAGTGGGTGGGGCCAGCAGTCACAGCTTTCGTTGTTACTCCACCTGCTTTGAGCATTCAGGCCATGCCCACTTCAGTGTTGCCTAGTACCACCCGCTCCCACCAGCTCTGGCTCAGTTGCACATCTGCACTGCTAGCTGAAGGAAGTGATTCTGCAGTGCTTGGATGATGGTGATGTGGTCCCGCTTTCCTTTTCCCTACCCCAAGATGTCAGGGGAAACCTGATAGAGGAAATTGGCCGTGGCCAAGAAAAAGGTATAGCATGTTGCTTCACAGGCCCCGGACCCAGCCCAAGCCCCCTCTGATGGTTGGACAGGGGCAGGACTCCGTCACTTCTGAGGCACATGGGGCTTGCCCCTCTGTGCCTCTTGACTCCCCTCACCAAAGTCTTCGCAGCTACCTCTGTCCCCTCAGCATCCCAGCCCTGCCCTCGCCAGGCACCCCCCTGTCATTACTGCCTGTAGCCCAGCCTTTGACCTGATGACCCAGTCCCCTGTTTTCATACTCTTTCCAGCTTCTCTGGTCATGGCACAAATTTCCATTTGGAAGGGTACTCAGGACTTAGGCACCCAGGACCGAGAGGTTTCTGGCTCCCTTACTCCCTTCACTTAGATATTGACAATGTGAAAAACCTACACTTCACCAGTGGTTTAAAATGTTGACAATATCTCTGGGTGACAATTGGGAGAATGGGTTTGGTTTGGTTTGGTTTTCTCCCAGGTTTCTACTCTCTCTAGAGAGAGACTTTATAATTTATTTCTGAGTCTGTATCTCACATTAGAATTCCTTAGGATTCTAGGACCAGAGCACCTTTCAGTCAGTGCTCTCTGGAGGGAGATGTGCTTATCTTCTGTGGAACAAATTCTGGGCAACTGAACTTCACAGCTGAATCTTGCCCAGATCTTTTCAATCTGTGGTACCACAGGACTCATAGGGGGCATCTTTCTGAAGCATCAGACTTGCTTGATTCTTTTGAGAGAGAAAAAGCCTATTAATATATTTAGGGGTAACATTCACCTAGACTTGTAAGATTGTAATAGACTTCTCTCTGAAATGATGTGGTCCTCTTTTTGTTAGGTGCCCAGATCCCTAGGGGTGTGCCCTCACTGACTTCTGCCATTAGGATACATTGACGTAAACGTTTGAGAAGTACTGCTGTGCAGCTCTCACAGCTCTGTAAGAGAGGACCCAATGTCTGATTTGTATTTTGCCACCTGGCAGCTGCTGATTCATGGCAAAGCTCCAGAAGACTGAAGTTCAATCCCATTATTTCCTTCCAATAGTCATGTTACCAATCCATTTCTTCAGCCACTTAGTGATCATTACAACACCTTATAGGCTTGCTGGTGGCATTAAATTAGATGGTATAAGCAAGAATATTTTGTAAAATCTGAAAAGTAGGATGCAAGTATAGGGGCTTATAGTTCTCCTGAATATTACTGCTTTTCCGTTTCACAGTTAAGAGATTACCAATGGAGAAACAGCCTTGGTGGTCCTCCAGGAACAAATAACAAAATGAAAACTGGCAGTGGCCCTGATTGAGCCACTTCTGAGGGTCACCAGTTGCCTAAGCAGGTGAGTCCCAGCTGGTCAGTCTCCTGGGAATAGGGGGCTCAAAGGGTAGTAGGGGGTAATGGTAACGATTATGGAATAAGTGTCAGGGACTGGTTAAGAAGTCTGGGTTTGAATCCTACCTCTCCCTCTCCTAGGGATATGATTTTGGACTCTCTGAGTCTCCTCCCTTGAAGCTGTACACACAAAGGTGGACCACGAGCTTGGCTCTCAATGGATCCTGCTGCAGGAAGCACAGGATGATGTTGAAAACACCAAGGTCCAGGGCTCAATCCCTGTACCAGCCACACCTCCAAAAAAACAAAAAAAAAGTAAAATAAAATAAATAAAGGATGAAAGCTGCTCAGGAG